CCATCTTGAGGTAGCTCCTCTCCATCAAGGCTTCAGTAAAGCTTGGCGTCTCATACATTTCTCTCTTCAGAGAAATTCGAAGAACTGAATTATTCGGACAAGCGATGTGTTCAACTCCCTCCAAAATATCAGATATCTCCCAGATACCATCGTATGCAGATTCTAAAGGCTTGGGGCTAGCGCGAATTTCGGAAAACCTCAATCGTTGCCTTCGTTTCCTCTACATTCACCTTTAGTGGTGTCTGTTGTACAACGATGACAGCATAATTCTTTGTAGGGACGGTGCTATACCTTTCCTGTCTTAGACTTTCACTGCCACCTTCTACTTGATTGAGTTAAAAGCATTTTTAACATCTCACAGGATGAGTAGTTTCTGATCGGATGAGTTTTCTGACGTACATGAGGTGTGCCTTTGCTAAAACTCTGAATAGCACCTGTCATGGATTTCCTTTTACTGCGCTGTGTCCCGAAAGAGCTCTCATATCCTCTATCTCTTAAATCAGTCTGTTTATGATCTATTATTTTTACCTTTGCAATCATATCGAGAAAGCGCATGACTCATATAAGTGGAGAGAACAACTTGAGAATTGGAAGATCCTGTTAAGACTCACGACCGTCACTGACCAGCTTAAGAGTCTTGGATTTACGCCGATACTTCGATCTTAGGTAACTAATAAACTCTCTGGATCCAACAAGTAATTGCGACTGAACGCTGCATCTCAGCATTTCGTCTAATATAGAGCGTCAGTGGTATACAGGGAGTACGTTTGGGTCAACTAGCTGAGGTCAACGGTGGTAGCCGTAGCAGCAGAGATCCCAGCTATAACTAGCCCGGTCTGCGCAAAACGCGCTTCAAGGTACTTCCTAGGCTTTGTGCCGCTAATTACAGTTCCTTTTAAGGCGTATTTGTTTCTACCGGTTTCGATGTCCACCTAAACAATGCCCAGTCAGAGGACTATACTGTATACGCTGGATCCTTACTGTTTGCTTTCGTTCACCATGTGTGTCGAGATACTGACGTACCTCGATCTGAATCACTAAGCTAGAACGACTCGTTTAAGTGTCTCATCGCGAAGATTTTCTTTGTTTTTGATGTTCTCCTGGAACAGCAGCAAAGCACGCCGGTTTACTTCAGCATTTTTTTCTTTTTTGCCTGGAGATGTCTGGAGTCACTGTGTCAGGTCTACGAAACCGAGCGGCACCGTCATGGCAAGAGTTATCGAAAAATCTTTCTAGTTCAAGTGATTCCCTGGCATAGCCTTTTCATATACGACGAGGAAAAGGTCGGAGAGTCTATTTTTTTTCTAAAACTGCGCGTGCGAAGACGATACTAGGTTCTGACTGCACTCGGCGATTAGCACACGGCGTAAAGGCGTGTTTGTTATGAGCAACAAACGAGTTTGCAAGCTTGATTATTACATTTTTTACCTTTTTAAGCTCGTGGTTATTAAAACGTGTGTCATTTCGCTCGCTTCGACCGACGCTCACCCGCAAAAACATTAAATTTTATTTTCTGGAGTAGAACCTGCACGAATCCGTTGCCCATGCTGGTGACGATTGGAAAACGACAAAGACTCAAATGGAAAAGCATCTTTATCTTCGCAAAAAGAAGCAAAACATTCAACCCAATCACAAATATCATCAACGGCAAACTGATTTCTGTAATAGCGCATGATATCGATCAATCCTATTTCAACATCCACGCCCCCATCGACTGTAGATATCCATCGGTTAGTTTCATTGCATCGGAGATACGTAATTCACCTCTAGCTAGTATGATAAATTCTTCATCCGCGCATCCTATTTCGCCAAGTTAGAAGCCCATCTCAAACAACAACTGGCTTATTTTGCAGTTTCATGGAACATAGTCGACAGGTGCATCCATATTATCCATTAGCGCGGAGAACCTATCAGAGGTTGTCCTTACAACAGCTTCATTATTAATATCTTCGTCAACGTACTTAGAGACTGGGGATGAAAGCAAAGCGCTGACAACAGTGAAGCCAAGTTGAAGGAATTGCTTATGATGTTGCTGACTGCTTGCATCTTCGTCTTTTGCCATACGCAACGCCTTCTAGTCGAACTGTATTGCAGTCTGAGCGTCTTTGGCTGTGTCTTATCCTATCGCAGAAAACTCGTTTATTACGGGACAGTATCCGATCCCTCCTATAACCGTTATCAATTAGCCTCCTGAGCTCCTTCTTTTTACTATGCGGATTGCTCACTTCCCGTTGACTTCACGTCCTACCGCAACCACTTCCGTGAACCGATCTAAACATTCGTGCATGGCCGTACGGAGCTGGGCAAATTTATCGAGCTCAAGATTTATCGGCAAAATCCCTTCAGGGAATCTCAGTGGATTATCAAGCGCGCGCTTGCAGCAGAGATCTGAAAAAAAGTACAGCCAGTCGGGCAGAGGCTCCAAGTTCATCTTATCAAATGTGAACTGCGAAAAAGACGCATCAATTGGTCTAATCTCGAGGTGACCATCAAAATTCGATTGATACCAGGATTCGATAAGCTATAGACACTTGAGAATTAAGTAAACATTCCGATTCGAACTGTCGCACGTTATTTCTAGAAACAGATACATACAGCCACCATAATATAGCCGTATACCGATTCCGTCTCGGTGGAAATATTACTACTAACTACCCAATAAGAATATTCACAGAACATTCAACAGTGTGAACCCGTTTACTGCATAGTCATTAGGGAAACGTTGATGACATTCTGGTCGCATAAAAATCAACAAAATATGAGCCTAGTAGCTCCATTGGCCTGGGTTCAGTTTCAGCGAACCTAGGAAGTCGAGCCCCCGTTGCTTCGAACGGTTTTTATCGGTCTCTAAGGTCGTCAGCCTTTAATTTAATTGTTACCTTTATGTTTTTTTTGTCATATAATGCTTTAGCCAATCCGCATATTTTAACTAACTGATAATAATTCGAATATGTATAGATTTTTTTTCACTAAACCCATTAACATAATCAAAGATACAAATAGAAGCTAAGCAGATGTTTCAGCTATCGCTAAGGCTGCTTTATATGAATAAACGGTTCTGAAAAGCCCAACTCTTTTCTGGTGGCTACCAGAGAAAGTTGTCAAAACTAAGCGTTGATTAGGCCGTCCAAGGCGGGGTTTAAATACAATACATTATACCCTACCTGGATTGTGTTTGAAAGCGTTCATTTTTCTAATCCCTAAATGGTTAAAGTATGATACCTAAACTGCGCATATATTCCAGATAAATTGCTGTTACATATCTACCTTATACAATATTCCGCTTGTCTGCGTATGTAAACCGCGACAGTCCATTTGCTAGGTCGAAAAATACCAGCATCGAGAGAATATGGAAAATCGTTCCGTTTGTTTGTATGCTAAACATCGAAATGTACAGCACACTAACAACTCGGTCTTAAAATGATTAGTCAATTGCAGTTACTTGCATTTACGTTCACAGGTTCTATGAACGTATGATCGCTACTTTCTAGAACCACGATTGCGCCAATGGTAACTGCTGCGACTGTTAGTCTGCAGTGACGTCGAACAAATTAGAAAAACAACAGGAATATTTATGCTCTCTATACGTTCCATCGCGGTCGTATACTGATTCAAGTTCGAAAACATCAGATAATAAGCTCAAGCATAACTTCGGCATCTGACCAATGCACCTGTTGTTACTGAAAATAAGAACGAATAAATTGTCAGTACTACATTTGTTAGCATTTCTTTACTATGGGCAAAGTAGTCACTGCGACCGCGACAATTCGAATGGATGACTTAAACTAGTACCGGCTAAGACGGCCCGTTATTATGCGCCATAACGTTATGTATAAGCGCTGCAAGGTATTGCACAACAATTTATTCTGTAGTAATCATGAACAAAGCTAGAAAATCCGCAAGTGAAATTCTCGTAGAAAAACATCCATTGTAGTAATTACGAATGGATCATATATATACATATATATTCTTCCAAATGCTTCAGGCTAAGAAACTTAAGCTGAAATCAGACATGTCTGTCTAACATCTCTAAACATTCATTATTCAGCGAGGAGGAAGATGTCAAGGCTAGAAAAGCGATGATCGCCTCCAGTTATCAACAATGAAGCTGGGGTATAGTTTCCGCCTTTTTTAACTGCTAGCCAGAAAGACCAACTTTTACGACGACCAAGATAATGTTCACGTAACAAACGTTTTTTCATCAGCAGCTTTCCCAACTTCTTAGACGAAACACAACACGTAGACATGGCGGCTCTATTGCATTCATATTGTTGATTGAGCCAATGGTATCGGAAGGCCGTCCTGTACTATATCTCAAGATTACTTAGTTTTTTTTTCTATCGCCTCGACTTCAACGTATATTACTATCCGCTTGATTAAGTTATTCTGCATTACTTTACCCAAGCACCGAGTTCAGCTTGTGACGGCGCAGCGGCAGTCAATATTAGCATAAACAAACCATTATCGGCTTGCATTGACAGTCATTTCTACAAATCAACGAAAAGGCAAAGCAGCTACTTAACGGTAACTTCTATAACTACAATGCATCAGTTGTTGTAGGCCATATGTTAATGGTATGCGTTTCTAAGCCGGAGAAGGCTTCAACTCGACTGACACGTTCAAGTGAATACTGATAGTTGGGGAAATTGTAAGGACATTTTTCGCATATCGGGGTCCCTTCAGATTCAAACATACATAGATGCAGATGAAAACTAAAACGGCTGAAACAGAAATTATAAGAAAGGTAATGAAATACCTTTCTTATAATTTTACTCTAACTAGATAAGGACCCTACTCCATTTTAATCATCATAGATAGATATATCGATATACGTATATGGTCATATCTATTTTGGTTATGGATGCGTTGTAGTGTGACTAGTTGCTACGTTTGCCCTGCAAACGCTTGGCCTTTGTACTAGTCATCGCGAGATGAGAATTACGCTAATTTTGAACAACATGTGTATGGCTAAGCATGTGACAAGTAGCGCTTTCGTGTACCTTCATGTTTTCGAAAACCATATGCACCCTTTCTTCCGCGCGTCCGCTGCCAGCTTCACACATAACAATCGCCTTGTCCAGCTTCTTGCAGTTAGATACCTGTAATAGAAGTTGTGCCATATATCAATAAAAGATATATACTTCCTTTATTTTTTATATTATTATTACTACCCATATGGCTTCGCAAGGTGGAATTGTGTTGCCAGAGCCCCACTGATGATTCAGCATAAAGAAAGATGGTCATTCAAAAACTACCGCAAAAAACTGTTATTTTTCAAAAAAAGCTACCCTTCTAACATAGTAGGATAATGCTGCATAACCATTAGTGCCAATGGCTCACCTTATAATAACATTTACACACGTGTGGGCGCTACACCGAGTTACATTGTAAGGTTTCTTTTTCAAATTGACAATTGGTAATGACGTGATCTTCTCTATCATCTATACCCTATATGACACCAGTTAATATAGTCCCACCTCATCCCGGCCAGTATAGCCCCTGAGGTTGTCATGTAACGTAACGCAGCATATTAGTGTTCATTAGCTCAAATTAATCTTGAAAAGTAACTTAGCGATATGCCAAACTGCTGCAAACTGATTGCAAAATTATGAAAATGTCTTTTCTATACCTGCCCCTGACGTTCGATAGAATGCAAAAGAATACTTATCGGCCCTAGATAGACGAACCTTTTGAATTCTGGCTAGAAAAATAATGGTACCAAATACGAAATCCATGGTTCCCCAAAAATGAATCTTTGTCGAGATAATAATGGTTATTATTATTAGTTATTAAGTGGTAAATTTGTGTGATTCTAATTAAAGATACAGGCCGCCTTAGAAGATAAGTTCTTATGAAATGGGCAAAAAAAATATTATAGAAGAACAATACATTTAATCAAGTTTTGCACGAATGCACAAATAAGAGTCATATGATTATAAGGGTCCTAAAATATATATGGCAAGTAATATTTAAGGCACGGACCGCTAGCGAGGATTACGTTCGGAAATACGGAGTACTATATCACTAATCGTAGAGTGGGGTTCCCTCCTCATAAACAACTGGGACACTAGAAATGATTTCTTTATTTGTCAGCTGCTAAGCTTTAATTACTACATCCGAGCACAAGTTCCTTCCAAGATATCACAATGATCGTTTGGTTTCTGTTAGTATATATATCTAATTTCATGTACTCGCTTCATAGAAATGCAAGGTATATACCTTCCTAATCGTAATGGTGGATTCGGCTGCAAAAATGCACCAGCGTTTTAAATTGAATAAAAGGTCAGAAATAGTTAACGGTGAAAATAGCGTCACTCGGAGACATGCTGACGTGCTATTCAGCCTAATACAAAAGCAGCTTAACTCTTAAATTTATGTTTGTACCCGAATTGCGTAATTTTGTTGAACTGGCACCTTTAGCATCTAAGGCGACTGTAACGGGCTGCCAATATGTTAAACAAACTGTAGTTTTCCGAAACATAATACAAATAAACCAGGGATATCAGCCAGGCCACCCGGAGACATGTTGACCTTAATGATCTAAGTACCCAAAACCTTAGCGTTCGCATGTGCCCTAGCGCTTAAAAGCATTTCAATAAAATTTTACGTATACGAATACCTTATGTTCGAACGCCTACACTTCCCTATCTCGCTCTCGTTAAACTGATGTGTTTGTTCACCGGTTTAGAACGTAGTGTCAGGCTTGATTATTCTTTTATACAATTACTAATAATGTCTTTGTGGAACACAAATTTATCTTTAATTATTTTCATTTAATTGATCGTATATTATCAATATCATAATTTCTGAAATACGAATTATTCTCATTAATTAGTAAATGACGTACCGCTAGTAAAGGTTTTGACAGTACGAAGATTATCTCTTGAGTTTTTACTGTTTTTACGCTGCTTACGGATTACGTTTACTGAGCTCGCTGTAGTGGAGCGTTTTTTTCTATGCTAGGTGTCATCTTTATTTCTGTAATATTTCTATATATTTCTCGATAGCGCTATATATATATTTACAAGTTAGCCAAAGGTTTCTAACCAGCCGTGCAAAAGTGCGTTCATCCCTTTATCCAGCTGCTCTTTACCTCTTCAAGAACGTTAGAAAATGCTCAGTGCTACCAAGAATGCAAATAGTAGGTATTCCGCGCTGGATTCATAGTGATAGCCAAAGGATAAGGATCGGCAATTTTGGCCAGAGAACCCGAAGTACAGGACATTAGATCGGCGAACTAGGATAGGCATAACGGTATGCCCAACGTTATGCGCATAACGCTCAGACACCACCAGCGGTACTGGCGAAACCGACAAAACTAGACAAGAGAAGAAAGAATTGTTTATAGCATTTTGTAACACGTATTGAGAAAAAATATTAACCAAAAGAAAAATTAACGCCTTGGCAATTAGCAGCAATCGCAATGGTTAAACGCAAAACCTTTGCACTCAATGATACGAGCTACCGCCCAATGGCTCATTATAAAATGACATAATTAAAACATTGAGGTTTTGGCTTCATCATTTTAGTAAGAGCTGTTTCTTATAATTTGGAAGCTCGTTGCTAGCTCTACGAGGCTTACTTATTTACTTACTCTCTCGTTTTACGTCATCCTTTCTTATCTAATGGGCTTACAACTAAATACGAACCAAATAGGAACACGCTCTTGAGCTGCAGCTCGCAATGTACGACCGGCTAGACTTCTACGGTAGAATACGATATGGCCAACAGCGTGTAGGCGCATACATAAGTCATATGGCGCCAAACCCACAAGCCTAAATATGCAGATATCACAATGGAGTGCGATTACAGGGTTCATACTAATAATATGAATAGGTAAAAACCGCATTTATTAGAATAAAAAATAGTCTAAATCGGCGTCGTCAAAATGTATTAGTTCAATCAGTGTAATAGAGTTCAATGTAGTCAGCCGTCCGTAGACATGAACAACTGTCACACCCTATAATGAGGAGGTCGTTTACAATAGGGCGGAGATTCAATAAATCGACCTAATTTATTTGCCTTCATCAGGTTGCATTTCAAAGACCTGAAATATTTACGTTTATGACAACTTGCTATTCTAACGTTTATATCTTATCATATGACGGATTCACGACCTTAGCTGAAGCCAGTGTTATAAGATGGTTCCTCGAATAGTCGACTTAAGGTTTACGGCTATTTATTTAAGACCTACCTATGATTGTATTATACACTGTACGCTATATTATGGTCTATTCTTCGATTAATTTCCGAGTCATATTGGTCAGCGGTTGAATTTGTGGGCGGCGAAGAGTATCATACAAATCACAAGGTCGTCTATACACGATACAAACTCAATATTCGTCAAGTTAGTAAAATTTCTGTGGTCTGGATAAGTGGTAGTGGAAATCGCTCTTTTGAGAAACGAGCCTCTTGTTCGTCTCAAACGTTTAAGATTCTCCACTGTGAAATAATCTCAGCACAAGTTCGTCCGGCAAGTGGCAAGCTGTCCAAATTTCAGGTCGAAAGATCGCAATGCGGTTAAGAGGACCAACTGTTGGAGACCAAGCACTAAGGACGAAACTATCAGGGCCTTTTTCTGTAATAAACTATGGAGACACTCAGTAACTCTGAGTAGGTAGATCGACTAACATATGGCGGTGGTTAGCCGAGGTCGTGAAATGGGATCTGATTAGAGTGCACTGCAAATCGAAGAGACTGCTCTCATCAATAACTCAATCGTTTACGTAAAGAAGTATTTTGGGCTTACACACTTTTTCGGGAAGTTCCTCAAGCAAGACCGAGAAAAGGAAAGGCCTTTAGTTATTTCCCTGGGCCGCACTTGAAATCTGACGAAACATTGGCAGCTCCAAGACCCTTCTCGTTGAGTGTAGTTGCTGTTAATTAAAGACATTCGTAGGAACGTCGCTGTCAGCGAGGACGCTAAAGACTAGATCCTTCGTATCGGCACTTAAAATCTTACATGCCATTCCAGTCAAATGGCTTCTTCCAAGCCTGTGTTGCTCCTTGGATATCACACTCCTCAGGAACATGTTTAGCTTTCTTGCCAGCAGGTAAGAAGGAAGTTTATAGCAGACGCTGTTGTTTGCGATTCGGCGCTACGACGTCGGTCGGCCTGGCTCGTTTACGCCTTTCGGGACAGCGAAAAGTGTTGCATCCCGCCAGCAGTCTGGAACGAAGCCATTCGTTGAACGAATCGGTCCTGCGCAGCCCTAAAGTGTTAATCACTAATCCTGTCCGGTTCCGCTGCCTTCCTTGAGCGTTAACTGTCGATCGCCTGAGTCATTTCCAGGACGAAAAACTCTTAACGCAGCATCGCTTTCGCTGAGATTTTCAGAGTATGGTATCACAAGATGAGAACATTCCAGCGATTTGATTGACGAGATTTTATTAGGCGATGACACACGATGCCTGCAGTGACCAAGTTAGTTGTTCCTTAGTTGAAAATTGGTCCCTTTCCAGAGGACAACCTTCTGCTGTTTCAAATATACGGATTTCTTTGAACTCTGCAGCCAGTGTGTCGCTGCCAGTTGTAGCGTCGCTATTGGGGTGGTGTTTGGGTTCCCCAAGAAAAAGGGACAACGAATGTACAATTGGATTGAAGTGGATTCAAATATAGGCCTAGTTACCGTTGACAACAGCTTTCTCATTCCATTATATTAAGTTACCAAGTCTACCAGCTAGAAATAACCGACCCTAGAAAAAAGGAAGCTCAAAGAATTAACGCAATAAAGCAGCAAAAATATGCCGTGCAAAAGGCGGTTGACACAGATGAATGACAAAATTGTTTCAAGATAATCTCGTATATGTGTTTTTTCAAAAATGCTCTCTAAATTATTAATCATAACTTAAAGTTCTCATAACTTCTAAATTTCAACAACTAAATTCTATAAAAAAAACGACGACTGTATTCTATTAACAGAAAATATAGTAGTTTTTAAAATTACAATTCAAAGTTATCGTAACAAATTGGCATAAGCAGTAACAGTGCACTAAGCTCAATCAGTAATATCTATCTTGATTTAAACAATGCAAACAAAATATATAATACTTGTGCCTTACTCTGAGGTTCTATAAATGGTATGCACTCGACCGTAGCCGATACTCAAAGCTCAGTCACATGAATGAAACGAGTTTTCTAACAAACGGTGATTTTGTTGTGTGTAATTAAGGTATCAATATTTGGAAACAGGATATTTGCGATGTGTTCATAGTCCTACCAGTTTAAAACAGGAGTGGATTGATGAAGCAAAAGAAAAATCTGTAACAGAATTCAATGCAACTGTCAAATAATGCGGTGTTTCTTCAACACAAATTCACAATAAATCCTTTGGTATACATCCTCGTATACATAAAGGGAAAATAAAACGAATGTGTGTTATATGTTATGAGCGATTCTGTTCTGAGCAAATTGTGTAGAGCTATGGGAAACGCACCTTAAGTTTAGAATCATTGACAAAGGCTCCTTTGCCTTTTCGAGCCGTGTATAGAAGATCGAGAATTGGGTTATAGATAATACCAAGCACGATATCTTTATTAACAGCTAAGCCAACGGAGACAGCAACCATTGGGAACCTGTTAACCACCGGCAGGATAGACATAAATATTTTAGAAATCTCACTGCATTTAATAATATAATATCAACAATATATAATAACTGCTAAATGTTTAGTGATAAACGGTACACAAATAGGTCCCAGGCGGGAAAATTTCCGCAATATACACATTTTTATGGGGTAGAAGGAGTATTCAGACGCTACATAGGTACGTACGTGTGAACAAAGTTCGTCGTCCCATCAACTGGATCGATTATCCATGTTGGAGCATCCGTAAGGTCGTGCTTGCAACCCTCCACGGTAGACTCTTCACCAATAAACCTAATTAGAGATAACAAAATACGTGAATAAGCGTTTACGCCCGGAGCTGCCTTGTTGAGTGCAGCAATGGTTATACACGACAATAAAGCAAGACCCAAATAGACAGACTTTGATGGTTTGCAATTAAAAAAATAAAGACGGTTTCTCTATTATATATATATATATATATATATATATATTATAGTCGTCATTGTAATAACAGATAAAATACACTTATCATACATATGAGAACACTTTTTTATTTTAATAATGAAAAGCTCATGCGCCACTCGAATGTGTTTTTGCACAGCGCTAATCAAGACAGAAAGAAAGTGAATTTTTACTAAATCTATTTTCATATAGGGGTAGCCTATAACATACTTGTGGTCTGGGAATTTAGCAGAAATGTTCCCGATTATTAGCTTTTCAACGCCTTTGTCCGTGTCTGTGACGAGGTCCGCGAATCCCGCTTTCGTTTCGACTTTTTTCTCCTTTTGCACTGCAGTCCTCACCGTCTAAAAGTCAATTAAAATCAATTTGGAAATGTCTTACTATTGCGTAAAGCCAAAGATAAGATTCATCGAAGATGGGTTGTTCACATATATGTAACTATAGCACTTGAAATGCACTTAGTAAATACCAAGGGCTCCGTCCCTTATGCAGTCGTAATTAAATATATTTACAAACAAATAAAAAACAATAATTTTCGTTTGGATTGCACAGAAATATTTTGATGAACTTTGCTAAATAAAAAAAATGGTCACCAAAAAATATTGTTGCTGCCGCTTCTCCTATAATAGTGCTACGTTTACATTGAGTACAAAAATCTTTTCACGAGACTTACTCCTTGATCTTTGTCATTATCATCTTCATAAGCCTTTTTCAATCATAGATATTTTTAGTGGCTATCAGAATTCGGCCTACAATTGTTCGTATCGCGTAGGCTATGTGTCTCTACCTTAACTCGAGGCGTGAAGGCGTTATTTAATTGTATTTTAAATAATTGCCTAAGTTTTGTATGGTGTGCTTCATTAGTTATGTTTGAAATTATCTTCTATTGAATAAACAACATTTTTTTATAACATTTGTTTAACGAAGTAAACTTACAAAGGCTTTCTGAATGATATTGTATAGTAGGTTTAATTGTGACACTCATATAAATTTTGACGGGCGTTATAACAAGCTCTCCTAGAGTTGTTCTTTTTGACGTCCCTTTGGAGTACCGATATTATTAAGTGATGTAAATTTGTAGCGCAAAGAACTACATTATAAAGTAAATGTATACTACTACGCGCTATCCGAATTGAAGAAGGTATTGAATGCATATATGTATATGTGAATGTGTATATGGTTAAAATGAATTAAGATTGCATTACAGAGCAGACATCGTGTAATCTCGTAATCTATCTACATATTATATATTGAAACTCTCTATTTGATTTTTTGTCTGCTCGACCCGAATCGACCTTTTGAAGAGGTCGTGTCGGACCGATTTTTGGATTGCTGCGCTGCGTTAGGACTAGAGCTATGCGTAAAATAAAACCGATTGGATAAACACTATTTCCGATATGGGGATGGGGGTTTGTTTTTTCCATAATATAAAAGGTAACGTCAATTTGAACCAATTGTCTGTCCTTTTCAAATTTATTTTAAGCCATTTTTTCCCGAAAATCTCTTTTACGTATTTATGGGAGCTAACCTGAGTTATCTTTTGGTGGTGCTTTTATTGAAACATTTTCTTTCTAACAAAATGGTAACCGAATGTTTACATGGAGATCTATGCAGGAAATCGTTCTTGCTACCAACCGAAAGCCTTCGTCGAGCTGAATCAAAATGTAATGTATGTCCTTATACTTAAATCTCAGTTTTGGGGGGTTGAAAACACCCGCCGAAGGACAAAGATGTAAATTTTTTCTATTTAGCACCAATCAATAGGTCTCGACGAACCTAATTTAGATATTTCAATATGAAAAGAGGTAAAAATTGGGTGAAAGGTTTGCTTCGCCTATGTGACAGTTGGGTGAAAATGGGTTTTGAGATATCTTTAAGTGCTTTTTTTGAGCGAATTTCTATTAAATCTCAAGTGGAAACCTGTCGCGAATATTTTGGTTGAACAATTTGCCTTTCAAACTTGTTCTCTGATAGATTTTTCAAAAAAAAACCCAAAATATTTTTTAAAAAAAAACACATTTTTTCTACACAAGGTACTATCTTGTTGACTCCAATTCTTTGTCCCATGCGGTAGATCTTGATGAACTGAGTGAAAATACAACATATCTTCTTATAATCAAAAATTGATACTTTGGCGTAAAAAGGGCCAAACATCAAATACGGTAGTTTTGTTTCTCTTACATAACACTTCAATGAAAACATCTTACACAAAAATTTATGTAAATGAGTACTTTTAGTTCCAATCGGAAGCTTTCAATGAGCTGAATCGAAATGCAGTACGTGTTTACATACGTAGATTTCAGTTTTCGGGTGGAAAATATTATTTAAAGCATGAAAACTTATTGAACTGTTTAACGTGGAAGCCAATCGATAGCTTTCGACGAATTTATTCAAAACGCAATACATATACCAATACTTAAACGGATATCCTTAAGTGACATCGACCAAAACACTGTTGGTCGTATTGTTTAAGTGACCTAAAGTGTTTAAGCGGGAGTGACAATGCTATTCGAGTAAGTATTTGAGTAAATTTCTAATGAACGTCAACCCGAAGGCTAAAAAGGCAAACGGATAGTTGATTTCTGTAGAAAAAGTCCTACTGCCTACGCAACTACTTATTATAAAAAAAGGAAGAGATAAAAAAACACAAACATTGGCCATGTTTCGCGCAAAGAATTAAATTTGTTTCAATATACGAAGTCTTATAAAAAAAAATTAATTATTTTAGCCTCGGTAACGTCCCAAGAACAGAATCAATAGGTTAGCAAACTATATCAATAACATCGTTTATCAAAGGTTCACAGAAACCCAATTCGAACACGTGAGTTTCTCAAAGAATGGCTCCGGCCGGCCTCATTCACGTGTGTTCCGGAAACAGAGTCAATCGCCAACGCTGAAGAAGTTTTGTAATTGCATTGAATATATCCACCAGAAGCCAATATATTACAAGCGTCACAAATCTAGGCTTGACTGAGCTTCCTGACAAATATATTACAACAGGTTTATGAGAAAAATACAGAAGGATAACGGGCTAGCTAAAGCAGGGCATGTGAAATGGGATAACTATCGATTTATACATACTACAGCTAATATTCGATTGGATGTAACATCAACAAATCGGATAAATCCCGAGACAAACCAGGCACAGGGCGAAGGCCACGGATCGGGCTAGCTCCAACTAATTTCGCGTACTCATAAGATATAGCTAAAGAGTTTTTTTCTTTTAACGTCCTACATAAATAAGATTATCGGAACTTTTATGGCTTAAATCTAGTCTACCGCGCGAGGAAAACCATAACGTAACATCGGTAATAACGAATTAGTACAGCATACATTTCAACAAAATTTCAGAAGTAAGTTGAAAAAAGAAACATCCCTTATGTAAACCATTATTAAATACTGAGGCAATTTCCTGTCAAAGAATATTTTGCAAATGGGCAACCGAAAAATTAAAGTTACGCAACAATAACAACGAAAATTGTTACTTTGCCATAATTTGTGTACAAATTACGTAACACATGAGTCCGATGCACTACATTAAGGGCTCTAGAATCGTGTTTGTGACAAGGAACTGAGATAAAATCTCACCCTTCGCTGCTCGAAGCTACCGGGAACGCAGATAACGTTCTTTATCTTTCTAGTTTTACATTCGATACTTGAGCCGCTAAACCTTGCTTCAGGCGACTGGCTCCCAGCCTATCACAAAACAATGCGGTGTCTACGACGGGATTCGAACCTAGACTACGCGTCCCTAACATTAGCTGGAAAACACGTTACTACCGTACTACTACGAAAACGTTCTTTATAATGACAGCATGCTATCTTTCCTTGAACGCATTAATCTTATTTAAACCATAAGAACAATATATAGGTTAAAAAAAGAAAGCGTGCTGTATCGCCATCTTCGTTATGCAGGTATTTTAATCGGTATACAACGATCAAGAAATTATCGTTTTCTAAACAAGTAACCGAAATAATGAACCAGTAAGTACATAGCGCTAAATATAGGACCTAACGGTCCGAGTTATTTCAGTATAGTTAAATAAAAATGCTTACATCAGCAGCACCCTCATTGAACAAAGGCAGACATGCCAGCCATCAGGGACTTTCAGTCTGTTGCAATCAACAAAGCTACGCAATATTATTTTATGTGTATGCAGCGACAACAAACGTTTTTACAGACGCAGCACGTATCGCTGTCGTCTTGTATTGAAAGTCGACATTCAACAACAGACCGGAATCACTGGAGTATTTGGATATCATTCAGGGAATGTGATCTGTCGATCACGATGGTGCTGACGAGAGCTCACATCACGTAACGATCGACACGTAGTTGATACCCTGGAAGAAATCACGCGTTCCGTTCTCGGCAACTACTCTTCCTCGCGTTCTGTCTCTCACTCAAAAAAAAACCTGGTATATCACTTTAACGGTTCACTTCGCAGTAAAGTTGAGCGTTGTCCGTCCTCTAAATACGCAACCAAGTATATAAAAGCAGTCATAATTCGTAATGCATGCGTTCATGAAGCATCTGACAAACTAAACGCGTACAGGTGACGATGTACTAAATCAACGCTCAAAAGCATAAAAGATTAAGTTATGATTGTTTTCTTGTTCAAGTTACCTGTCCAGCTTCCTTGACGAGTGCAAGGGCGGTGTGGAAGAACTCATCCAGCTCAACATCGCTCACGGTCACAGGCATCTTGATTTTTTCACCAGACAGTAACTCGTAACGAACTTTCTGGCTAAAAAGAAGTACAACGTAGGAGGTCTAGCCTGAAGCCGATATAGATGCACAACGAACGATCCGTCAACGATGCGATAATGGTTACAAATAGATGGTTGCTTTGTCAATAGCGTTATGTCGTCTACGTACTGTAAGCCTACCACCCTCGCGCGCGAGTTAGAGAAATAGTCATAATACAAATAGAGGACAAAATGCGCCGAGCAAAACTGGCGACTATCTAGAAACCAAATAAGAGGGGAAAGGTGTTTTGTTATACGCGATTATAACGATGCCTATCTTCTAAGCGTCTTCGTTAATTTTGTAACATTTCCTCTCATTTTCTCGTTGCCTATCCTTGTCGATTATGGTTACAAACGCGCGTTGAAGTGTTGTCACTTAATGGCAATAGAAAGCCTGCTATTTCTTTGCACTTCTAACGCACGATTGCAAAGGCGTCAGTTCGTTTGTTGTCTACTGCTCTTGCACTCTGCTTATTCGCGCTGGACGGCCGATAGAACAGCTGATAGCACCGCGCAATGCGGCTGACCGCGAGAGGAGCGTAGCGTCCAGTTGTCAATGGTAACGCCGGATACGGACTTGGGCAAGCCTGAAACAGCTATTGTTTCGGTTGTCCTTTTACAGCATACCGTAAATGATAGAGTAAATCTAGCCACCTTTGTAATACGTTCACTTATAACTGTAAATCTGCTAAGATTTGTGGCTTATGCTTTGTTGAAATGTGTTGGTAGGCCAATAATGTCGAGCGGATACAACTTAAGAGCACGCACAAATTTGTCTTTTACATACTTCATTAATTACTTATAGATTAAGATTATTTACATACTTAATGAAAGAAGTAATATTTTAATAGAAGTAAAGAGTAAAGGAAGATGAAAGACAGTAGTTTGATTTAGAAAAGAAAAGTACATCAGTTTCAATCGGCTATATATTTGATAACTTTTAGAAGTTTCTGAATCTGTCAAGCAATTCTTTCACTTTCAAAACTTCACAGCAACAATCTACTCATTGATCACAATACTCTGAGATTCACTAAGATTTTAACGCCATTTTAAAGATGAACATTTTAATAAAGACATAAAACATCTAATCATTTACCAATTGTAGAATTATCAGACTGAGAAGGTTCCCGTTTAGCTTATCACGCCAACGATCTCTATCAGTCAATCGTATTTCCTGTGCAGCCCTATCGCTGGCAATGATGCTTCGTATGCAGATTCTACAGCCACTCGTTTGTGTATTATAATTGCTTTTACGCATGTAAAAATGCGTCAAAGTAATTATAATGCGTAAGGTAAATTTTACCATACCTAATTGTAACACTAAATATGCTTCCTCAAAAAATTGGTAAGAGCATTACGGTTTGGCATTTTTTGTGTTTGAATACGTATTAATAAATATTTATCCACAGAACTCTGTAATCGGAAAACATCAAACCTCATTTAGTTTCCTATCTTCTTTCGAATACTCACTGAATCCAACAAAGACGTGATAATCGATGAAAGAATGGTCTTAATTAAAAAGTATTTTGTAACTATTTAAATATAATTAAGTTAAACACAGTACGACAGTCGAAAGGCTAGAGCCGCACTATTCTGCCTCTCAATTTAAAGTATAGCTATTCTTAACTCGTTCGGGCAGCCCAACTTCCCTTTCCGATAAACCGTTGGGTCGATAATAGATAGATAGCTGCTTGGTCTATCAATTAAGGTCATCTGAAACACCGCTCAATCTCAAGTCTCCGGATCTTCAAAATAGTCGACGACGAGACCAGGTCCGGCGCCACGCTGATGGCAAAACTAAACTGTGTTTAGATGAATTTGAAAAACGGGAAAACTGTTTGACCCGATTGCATGAACCTATTCGAAAAATACGAGCTAAAATAGATGGATTTATAAGACTAGGGTTAGATGCCTGTAGTACAGCCCTCCCATGGTAGAATACTAGTGAATGTCAGCATGCCTAAACAAAGCGTACTCTGCGAAACAAGAGGATTTCATTACGACATTTTTATAGGTATTCTAGAAATCGTGGTAATCAATTTCTACGAAAAACACCGTTAAGCAAATGGAATAGGCAAGATGCTAATAATTGAATAGCTGATATTAGTGATCTCTGAATGTAAACTGGACCAGGTCCTAAGTTATAGTTTTTTGTGGCGTAATCATAACATGTAAGTTTGATATTTAGATGAAGCGAAGTGTTAGAAAGCGAAATATTACTCTATGATCTGACACTCAAAGAATCACAGCAGTATAGCTCGCTGAATGTAGTGATGCGTATTTTCATTATCCGACTGTGTTGCTCTCTGGTGAGCACACGCTCCTAATACTCTCATAAGAATTGTTTCATTGAATGACACTCATTTACAGAGTGGAAGGCATGTCACTCAGGAACGGGGGCATTTTCTTGTCTCTTGAAGTGAGTAGTGTGTGTAGTCGTCGTCAATTCAAGTCTCCAATATTTATTCAGGATAAACGTTTTAGTTTTACCTAGAGTTAATGATAAGCTATAATTAAAATAGGATACTGAATACAGTCTTCTTTATGCGGAACCCCCTCTGATGGTTTGTGGGAGTGTCTTTGTTGCCGGCCGTCTGTTTCATCCTTCAAACTTATCTATGGTCGAGGTTGCAAATTGTGCTGGACATTCAAGTATCAGAATTTAGAGACCGGCGATATTTCCAAATATAGTCCATACGTTTAGTCGAGTCGTTTGTAGCAATAGATAGTGCACACACTTCACGATTTGTAATAAGTTCCATATCTACAGCCAACTGCATATATGTTGGAGCAGACGACTGTATTTTCAAAGAAGGACTTGTTAAAATTGCTTTACCTACCTTAGAACATTGATTGAATATGTCCGCCTTATTTATTCCGGTCCAGAATTTATTTGACATTTATGTGCGTTTTATCCTTCCGCAAACGCTTTCCTTTGTATGTATCTGAAGAAAAGTACGGTTTTATACAACATGGACACTACCTCGCCTCTGAACGTCGTTTAGATGTTATTATATATATATATATACCGATGACGTTAGTCGTCCGTACTCCATGTCAATTTATTCGTATTAACAATTTTATGGACATTTGTCACTTGACAGTTTTCATTGTGTAAAGGGCCTCTTAATTTTCTTGAAAACATCAGTACCCTATCAACAACTGTTTTAGACTTTCAAACATCAGGCAATTCAGATATCCGGTAGGTACTGTTACTTGAATGGCCTAGATTTGGCGAAAGATTTGCTCATTTTTTGATGGTACATCTGGCATATTTATTCAGTGAACAATCGTAATCTTAATAATACGATTTTAATGTACAATCTAGTGGTACAGGGAGTTCCATTTTTTTACGCCGAGCCTAAATCCTGGTCAGTCGATATTCATACTGCATTTATGCGCAACTTAAAAGTCGCTTCTTATTGATAGTATCAATTATTGTAATTACCTAGACACGTCCTATATTGACGCCCTGAAACTAGGACACTGGCGGCACTGCGACGCTAAATACAGAATGAGCAAGGTTTTCGCCGAACGCCAATGGATCCGCATTGCTGAACGACGTGAGGAGGTCTACTTAGGTAAGTTTTCATGCAGCCGAACGTCCTGTTTCGCTGATGGCGTTTGCTTCACAGCATCAGGCAAGCCATATTCTCAAAGGATGAAGATGGTAGTCGTTATTCTTGGAAGGCTTATTTTTTCTCGCCCGCTGAACTTCGACTGCCAGATCCATATTCTAATGAATCAGTCAGCATATCACTGAAGAAATCGTACGCGATTTAGGTTAGTCGGAAAAAAGCGGGAACTAATTGTGGGGTGGACGCTCCTGGAGCAAATGTAGAGAATAGATATAGAAGAAATATAAGGCGAAAGGTTAAATCAATTTGAGTTGAAATGTAGTTGTCTATCTGGTAGAGACCTTTAGTGAAGATTTATTCTACATGTACAACAAAATAGAAGAGATTCGTTTTGCAGAACGGAATGTGCCACCTGAATCCGCGTTCCTCACATAGTGCGATATTCTTGGTACTTGTACACAGACGTACAAATGACACATAATTGGATCAGTCGTTCAGATCATAGGTAGTCGTCATGGCCGACGATTCCGTGACCAGTGTGTTGGGTAAGTTAACGATAACGCTCACGCAAGAGTTTGCATAGCGATCATGTTCATCAAAAAAGTTCTACGTTTCAATGTAAGTAAATAGTTATGAACAGGTCTGCCCTTGCAAACACGTTTGCAACATAATTAAGCGACTCCGCAAGGAAATGATGGAAGAGTCATGTGCTGAGAGGATAGAACGTTTCAAAAAAGGACGTTCAAAGATTTGTGCTGGGATTCTACTCAGTTAGCACAGGTTCAACCCTTAGACATTTTAACGATGAGATTATTGTGGATATATTCACTCTAGTGTTAGTGAGTCCATAACCAAAATTGACCAGGACTGTCCCTCATCATTGACTCACGTTGTAGCCTTACTAACCGTACGAGCTATGATAGCTTCAGTCCCATGAATAACTGAGCATAAAGTTGGTAAATCTATAGATCGTTACTCCACAGCCATCGTGAATCTAATAAAACGTCTCTAGGTAAAATGCAAACGTATTTCATTCATCAATTATTGTAGATTTCAGACTAATTGTTTAATTACAGTTCAATAAATAAAAATAACTTGGTCCATTCCAGATAGAGAATAACGTTTGAAAACGTGTCCCTTTCGTATCATACTTTGACTTGGGTCTTGGCAGCGAAGTTTAAATGAAGCAACCGGTATTTTTACTACTGAATGCATTCAACAGAGGTTGGAGATCACTTTATCTTCGTTAGATCCACATGGATAGACGGAGAATATTCTCTAAGTAAAGCCTTATGTAGCTACGACTTGAGCTTTAGGGTGGCGAAGGTACCAACTTTTTTATCCGAACTAAAAGCCATGAATCCTCGTGATTGGTGTCTGGTCGTCGTAAGTTTTATAGTTGTGTAACCTTTTTGGATGATGCTTCAAGGTGTTTAACTTGTGCTGTGGAACGCCTTCCCGGCGATGCTTTGTTGTACAGAACAGTTGGTAGCAATAGATTGTCCTTATTTTTTTTATTTTAGGAAGGGGTTTCCAAAAAGGGGAGAACGCTTTCAAATCTCTGCGACACTGATGCCTTCGTAGATATCATATTCGCAATACAATTTAAAAAATTGCCTGTATTATGTATACCTATATGTATTCGCTAAGAATCGTTGTACGAAGCTTCGTAAGTTGTGAGTTTCATTTGATCCTGTGTTAGTTGACAAGCGCTTCCCGAAGTGAAGTCCCAAAATATTCCAATAAACGTCTACCTACGTTAGTACGTAACGGATTGAGGTTCCAGCTCTAAATAGATGCCAGGATTCAGCAACAGCCCTCCTTTTAGAAATAGCTACCTATACTTGATCTAATGAACGCGGATAACGTGACGCAAACCGGCAGTGTCGTAT